GAATGTTTTAGAATATACAGTTTCTCAGTTCCTCTAAGTGAGAGGGACTAAATAGTTCAGAATCTACTTTGAGATAAATTTAAATGATTTCTAATTTGTTTGAAATAACAAAATAACTGCTCTTATTTATTGAAAGAATAATCCACCTTGAATTGTTCTTTTCTAAGTGTAAGATATGCTACACTTAGGAAAATCTTAAATTAATTTAGCTACCCTTACTGTAGTTACCCTGAGCCATGACAACGCAACTTACCTTGCTTTATCTTCTCTGGAAAATATGCTTATCTGGAAGACTGAGGGCAGTGAAACAATTTGCTGAGTTGCTTTGTTGACTGTACGGTATTTTGGAAATTGAAAATATTCAAAGCCATGAGTTATGTTCTACTACTTACTATAGCATCTTGTGTGCTTAAGTCACTATGTTTAGCGTTATATGATTTACTTAATGTACAGGGTGTTTCAAAAACTGTATACACAACTTAATAGCTCATAGCTCAATTTTGAAATTTAAATGTATTTTATAAACATTGCCTTTATAATTATTCCAAGTGTGTGTATGCATTTTTGGGGACACCGTATATTAACCATTACTTTTTCAAAAATTGACATTTCCATGTTGTATTTCTTATAGACCTGTAATTGTAGAGAAGGTAGGGGCTTTTTTCTCTCTTAGTTTTACCTTTAAAATGATACTTTTAAATTTTATCTTAAGGAAAAGTAAATATTTAAAAATGCATTTTATTAGTGAATTTTATGCTTTAAAATTTTTTTGAGTATTTTGATGTAACGGATGTAATTTTGTTTTTGTGTTTGTTTTTATAGTTTGATATATTTTAAAAGTAAAAATAATTTATGTCAGTATAAATCAATATTCTAAATTAGTCTTCTAATTAGATGCTAATATGAACCATATAGCTTGGAAAGAAGAATTAAGGTTGTCCCTGGTCAGTATTAGGAGGTTGGTAATTTCTTATTATTTCTGGATTATTATAGAATAAATGTATTTTATTTTAGATGGAAAAAATATTGATGTAAAACAAAGTAAATATTTTGTACAACACAAATTAACTGACAGAATCTTGTAACTAAATCTACCAACATCCTTGGACATAAATACAGTGTTCTTTGTTAACAAGCATGTTTTTCTGTAAGTCAAGGGAAATTCGTGATTTATGAGTTTAATTACTCATTTAAAGTTGGTTCAGTTTTCTCTGAACATACAGATACATTTATAAGGCCAAATTTGTACTTTAGTGACTGTCATATGATAAGTTGTGCACTATAGTTGGAAAATTAATTATTTTAAACTCTCTCAATACATGCTCTGTTTTCCTGCTGTGTATAAAATTGCATTGCATATCAGACTTCAAGGACAGAATAAAAATAAAAATAAAAACTTAGGAATAGGAAAGAAGACATTTAAAAAATAAACTTTTTAGCAAGCTTATAAAAATAGAAAAATATTGTAAAATATTGTACCTTGCTTATTTTAATAGGTATAATGTATCATAAATGTTCAACAATTTTATGGTGTTGACAATTATGGATAGTTATAATTAGTTTTAGTAATCAAATGCTTGGTTTGAGGGATTTTTCAACAGATTTTTGTCGCAGTAGAGAAGTTTTGGTTTGAAATCATTTGGGTTTCATATTCTAGGTTTAACCTGATCTTTGCATCCTTGAGGCTCCTACTAAATAGATGCTTAGTTCAGCTTCATTTTGAAAGGTTCCTGCTCCGAACGTAAACAATCTAAGACTCCTCTGACCTTAAAAAAGTGCCGTTATATGATCAACTTGTAATAATGAATGAATGCTAATACCCACTTAAAGTCTGGAGGCTTCTCTTTCGTTGTTAGGAATCTTTTAAGCAAATGCTTGGTCCTTTAGGACATATGTTTACTCAAGTGCAATTAAATCTGATAGTAGGACCAATTGTACGTCTGTTGTAAACGGTGAAATGCTTGCTATTGTACAAGTGATGAAATGCTACTTGAGTTATTTATGATGCTTTATAAATGTCATCTATTTCAGTATATTATATGAAAATATTTTATTTCTCTTTTGTAGTTCATTTGGTGGAATGAACAGCAACAACAAAATACTGGGCATTCTCCTTTATAATTCTTAAGTCTAAAACTAATATCGTGCCATAGATGTGGCAGTAACGGACACCGAAGAGAGGGTACTCTTTACTGTCCTTAATCACTCTAACCGGTTGTTGGTTAAATGAACCACCAGAAAGAGTTCCCATTAGAACTACCTTAACAGCATTGAAAAGTAGAATGTTTGTGGCAAAGTAACGATTAAGGAAAAGTGGGGTGATAGAAGGAGTGGAAGGGCACGCTTAACTTCTTAAGGTTCAGACACTTAACTTCTGTGATTCATTACAGTAGCATAGGTGAAATAAGTCTTTATATTTTACTGCCTTTTAAATAAGATATGGCTGTTCAAATAACAAAAAAGTTGACTGTGTTTCTCTTCTTTTTTTGTTTTTTTAAAGGCTGTTTTAATACAAATAGTTTATAATAAAAGCTCATCATAGGCAGACAAGAAATCCAAATAAAGTTTTTCATATATTCTGAATAACTGTAGGGTAGACATTGAGATGTGATGATTTAAATAAACATTATATCTGCTAATTAAAGTTAAATTGTTTTTATATAAGACTAGTTAAGGTCTATTAATGGATTCTATCACATAAATGATGGAGAAATGATTTAGTGGACACTTCCAGTTGGTAGTGAGATCACTGTCAAATCTTGCATTTTCATCCTTTGATGTAATAAAAATTTTGTATAACTTTCTTAAAATGTTTACCTATTGGTGTTAGTGTTACCATATTCCTCACAGAGGAAAAGCATTGGTGAATTACTTGCATAGTTGTAGCATGTACCTCTTTTTAAAAACATTCTAGTTAAATACTATATAATAAAATGTCAGTTCCATGAGAATATTTTTTTATTTTTTCCTTGTTTGACGTTCTATTTCACGTGTTTCTGTTGGGACATATAGCATCTAGTAGAAAGAAAATGGGCCTGTAATCAGGAGACCTCTGTCTATTCCTGGTTCTGCCACTGAACTTGTTTTGTGACCTTGGGTAAGTCACTTGAATTCTATCTGTCTCAGTTATCCTCTAAAATTGATGATTGGTTTGAGAAGAATTTTGAATGTTTTGAATCCATACAACATGGAAAACATTGCTGCAGCGCCATTATAAAATAATCCGAGATACAGGAAAATAGTATGTAGAGAAAGAAATATTTATTGTTCCTATGTTTTATACCAAAAAAAATGTTTTCTTAGAGATGGAATATGTATAAGCAATTATTTTTTCCACTTTATACCAATTTTATCTTAACATTTGAGGAAATTATGTTAGTAGCATAATAAATACGTTTTTAGTGAAATTTTGCATAGGAGAAATAATGCAAGATATAATATAATTCAGCTGTCTTATGATATTAATATATCTCTGATTTTTCTACCTTTTCTTTGAGAAATGGATGGACTGGGGATGGGAAAAATGTGTCATATATCATATTAATGTATGAGTACATTTCAGAGGACAGTACTGTTCTAGTGATCACTCCTATGAACAGAGTCTGGGTTGTACTATAATTATGATGAGACTTGGTGTCTCATTATGAATAGGTCAAAGATGTGATTGTATAATAATCAAAACTATATTATTAAGTTTCAAAATGTGTTATCTTTTTCAGTTCTCTATAATTTCTACGAGGATTCCCCCCCCTTTTTTTTTCATAAGAAAAGCATTTTGGTCATGTATGTTTTTCTAGTGGAAAGTTTTCATTTTCTCAATATTCAGAAAAAGAGATAAATTTATTATAGGAAAGAATGCTCTAAAGAGTTATAATTTCCAAGTGCAGTTTGATACAAGATGGTCTTCTATAAACTATGATACAACTATTGCAGAAGTGAATGTGGTGTTTTTATTTAAGAATTTTGTAGCACCTGATTTAAAGCTAAATAGGTAATGAAATAGGAGATTTCAGTTTTGTTATGTTGTGTTATGTGTCAATCATACTAATACACTAATATCATTGGAAGAATTTTTTTTTGGAATGCTGAATGTAGCAGACCATTCCTGCTTTCAATCACTGTTTAAAATAGTCTTTTGAACTTTACTACCAATGGGGAAAGAGTGTTTCCGAAATGTGTGCCATATCTGTTATAGTAGATGTTAGATTTGGAGGGAAGATTTGAAGAAACATCAGTAATCGATGTGGTCCCTATAAGAACTTCCTTAATAAATAAACATTATTATTAATTCATAAACATTATTAATCCAATAAAATTTGCCTAATTTGAAGGTTAATTTGAATTTTTAATATTTATATAAAGCCATAAATTTCAACTATTCTTTCTTATAGGAATTTTATTATATTTGTTACTCTCCATCATATTTTTATGATAATATTTTGCTGTATTGAAGTAATTTAGTAAATATTGGCCTGATGACTGTACTTTATTTTCATGCATGCACTGATCTATTTGGGAAATTTAAAAAGCAAAAAAAAATATGTTGGAACTATTTTTATTGCTCTCTTTGAAGATGTTTCAATTAAATTTTATTCTTTGTATGATCATTAAAAATCCTAAAAGCATTTTCACTGATCTTAAATGGACTCAGTAACACCTTAAATAATATGGTCACACAAGTAACATGGTTTTTATTCACGGTATCTTCCTTCAGCACCAGTGATCAGGATTGGCTGTCCACAAATAATTATAACCTTTCGAATCCTTTTTTTCTCTACACTAACTTTATTTCTCTGATCCTACTAACCCATAGTAGCTTAACCAATTCATCATCAGTTCTTCCCCTTTTTTTATAGATTGTGTTTGGTTATATCTTTCCTACCATTGTGCACAGGATTCTTTCTCCAAATGACGGGGGCTCTTTCCTCTGGTGTCACTTTTACCCTTTGGTCCATCCACTCACACCCATCTTCTTTGTCTATGTCTGTCACTACACGATGTGGTCACAGAAGACGGGGACCCCACCAGGAGAAGGCATGCAGGTCTGTCACTTCTACTGCTTCTCTCTGCTGTTTTTTTGTTTAGCTGACTTTCCTTAGGAATTTTTACTATTTTTTAAATTTAATTTTGCATTCTCTTCTAATATATCAAAATGTTAAACTCTTTTAGGTATTTTCATTTTAGGTAGTTGTAGAGTCAACTTTTAAGAACAGCTGCTCCAGTTAGATGGATCAAATTAAATGATTACTTTTTGTGTTATATAGAGAGAGAGATTCCCCCCCCCATAACTGTGTGTGTGTGTGTGTGTGATCAACTAGATTATATAAGTTAATTATAATTTGCTCTTCAACTTATTTTAGACTTAAAACTTGTGCTCCACTTTTTTTTTTTTTTACATACCGTAATAAAAGTGTTTTATTTCTCTCATGAGTTCAGCAACGTACTAAAATGTGGAAAATATGAAAGACCTACATGCCCTAAGCTATCAGTATCATTGAGAAGTTAAAATATGCAGGTAACATGTTATGTTTGTGTGTCAATATGGATGACTCTAACAAAGGTATAAAGTCAAATAAAATTTGTTTTAACTCGATGGCCAGAAAGGCTTCATGGAAGAAGTAACACTTAAACTAAAACTTGAACATTCATTTAACACTCATTAAAAAAAAAAATTTTTTATTGACTTTGAGAGAGAGAGGAAGAAGGGAGAGAGAGAGAGAAACATTGATGAGAAACGTCAGTTCGTTGTCTCCTGCATGCCCCCTACTGGGCATGGAGTCCTCAACCACAGTATGTGCCTTGACAGGGAATCAAACCTGTGACCTCTTGGTGCATAGATCGACGCTCAACCACCAACCCACACCAGCCAGGCCATTGGACAGTCATTTTTTAAGCACCTGCTGTGTGGTACTGCTCTAGGTGCTGGAAATCCCAGGGCACAATACAGCCCCCTATCCTTGTGGGCTTTTCTAATGTGAGTCTAGCAAGTAAACACAATAATATTACAGGTATAATGAGAAATTATATATCTATATATTTAACATTTTGCATATGTTAGTGGAGTCACAAAGTGTGATCACTTCCTCCTGAAAAGGGTGGATATTAGTTCAAGAAAGATTTCATAGAAAAGATGACCTTTGAGTTGAATGTTAAAAACGAGAAAGATATTGGCCTCATGTGTAGGAAGCATTTCAAGGAGAAGAAATGATACAGGCACAGTCATTCAAACAGGTTCAGAAAAGTATGCTGGGAAGGTTTCTGAAGATGGTGTAGGTTATTGAAGCATAAAGTAGGGGAGCAACAAGATCAGATGTTTCTGGAATGATTAGAAGCTATATTTTTTTAAAAATGTACCTGTGTATTATTAGCCAAAAGGTAATTTATGAGGATAATTCATCAATCAGTTAAGAGATGATAATGAGCTGAATTAAAGTATCAATAGAAGCAATTGGTACATCAGAAGTTATTTAAAGGCTTAGTTACAGATTAGGTATTATCAATGCAGGGAAAGGAGGAATAAGATAAAAATCTCAGGTGACTGAACGTTAGGTAGATGGTGGTACATGTTATTGAGAGTGGGAACATACGTTTTAGGGGAAAAACAAAAACTGGGATTGGGAGTTACAAAATAGTCACGGGGATGTAAAGCACAGCATAGGAAATATAGTGAATAATCGATAATAATAAAAGCATAATATGCTCATTGGACCGATGTCCTTCCAGGCGTCCTTCCTTCTGGACAAACTGCAGCAGGAATGGAACCCTAGATCCTTTGGTGCCTACAGACCAATGTTGTAACAGTTGAGCCACACCAGCCAGGGCCAAGATAAGTGTAGATTTTTATAAGTGATATTTGTGCTGGGGGGTAGATGAGGCCAGGGGAAGGTCAATGAGGGGGAGTGGAGGAAGGAGAATGTGCACTACTATTTGTAATACTTTAAACAATAAAATAAAAATTTAAAAAACCCTTATGTGGCCTATTATGACTTGGGTAGGGAAGGAGATCTTTTAAATTGAGTAATCTAGTAAGGTTTTTTGTTTGTTTTTTTCTGAAGAGGTCATATCTTAATTAAACCAAAAGACTAAGAAGAAACCAGCTATGCAAATTATCTATAAAGATCAGTAAACAGAAGACAAAGCAAGAGCATTAAAGTTCAAAAGAGGAGATTAATTTAGACTATACATACTTTTCTGAAAATGCATTTAAGTATTGGTGACAGATGAGAGTTTTCAATAGTTAAGATTTATAGTGGCCCTGGCCAGGTAGCTCAATTGGTTAGCGCGTCATCCCCGTATGCCAAGGTTGTGAGTTCAATCCTGTCAGGGCACATACAAGAAACCAATGAATGCATAAGCATAGATAAGTCAAGCAATGAGTTGATCTCTCTCTCCATTTCTCCATCCCTCCCTCTCTCCCTCCCTCTCTCTCTTCTCCCCCTCCCTTTATCCCTCCCCTCAACCATTCCTCTCTCTAAAATCAATTAAAAGAAGATTTGTAGGGAGGTGAATGAATAAAGTGTAGCTCTGGATGCTAGTTATGGTAAAAAAAAAAAATTATAAATCTTTAGACTCTTAAGGAAAGGGTACATAAAAAGGAAAGGGTACATATATTAAAAGTCAAGTTAGTAATCAAGTATCTATAAAGAAAACATTGTGGCCCTGGCCAGTATGCTAGGTGGTTAGAGTGCCTGTCTGCCCACTGAGGGGCCCAGGGGGTTTGATTCCAGGTCTAGGGCACTTACTTGGGTTGCAGGTTCAATCCCTGGCACAGAGATGCGTGTGGGAGACAAGCAATTGATGTGCCTCTCCTACATTGATGATTCTCCCTCTCTCCAGCTCCCTCCCTCCCTTCCACTCTCTAAAAATCAATGGGAAAAAATATCTTTGGTGAGGGTTAACAAAAAGAAGGAAAGAAAGAAAACATTGATATAAATTAGGTTTTTGTTTAACTAAAGAGAAGGATGTTTCTTTTTATCAGCCTGTATGAAGACTTGAGGGGATGGCATGCAGGATGTGAGAGTAAGGATGAGGAATGGAATTAATTGTGTGGAAGGCACAATTTAATGAAAAGCATAACATTACTAAGTAAAAGTAATTGAATTAATCATGTGGCGTAAATTATGGGGGGGGGGGGAATTATAGGTGATAAACAGTGTGAAGGAGATTGATAGCCAGTTCAGAGTAAAGGAATGAGAATCAGAAGGAATTTCTGAAAAGAGTATTAAAGATTAAAAACAACAGTCTATGTTTGGGCTCATAAGGAAATAAGTTGAAGCATCACACGCACGCACACACAAAGTTGGCCAAAGTGGAGATGTAACTTGAAAAGGAAAAGAAAGAAATGTTAAAAGGGAGGACACTGGAAAAAGAAAGATTTAAATGAGAGTGGTGTGTGGTGGTGGTGGTGGTTGTGATTTGTCTGTGGTATTGTGTGTATATCCATGTCTGTCAGAGACAGAAGAGAGAGATTTCATGAATAAATATTTCAGTTGCTACGTTTTGGAGGACAGACAATCTCAGCCATTTATTTTATGACTTTGAATACATTTTCTAATAAGTAATAATTGAGAAAATAAGTCCCATCACATACAGTTTTGCTGATTAAGTGGCATAATCACAACACATGTAAAGCTTTTTTTAAGAACTTAATTGTGCAGGAGCATCTAATACTAAATTCTAGAACACAAGACTCTAACTGTACTTTTTAAAGCTTTGCTACGTTTCATTTTCCATGCCTCATTCAATAAAATTCTAGTTTAAAAACATGATGGAAGAAAAAGGACAGGCTGGCAGAATCGGTGGTCAGCAGGTCTCTGGCTGGCAGGCCGGGGGACTGCCCTGGGCAGCTCGAGGCACATTTCGGCTGACAAATTCTCTGTCCTGATTGTGCTGAAGCTGCAGGCCCATAGACATTTCTCAGCTGCCATAGAACTTTGCACCTAAATACTATAATTTTTTTATTTATGCTAATTATGCTTTTATAAATCTGGCTTGAAAAATGATTGAAAATGCACTAAATTAAAATGAGTTGTTTTTATATATTACCCAAGTAGTCCTAACTATAGACCCAAACGCAGTTTGAATATCAGTTTCTTTGGACTCTCGTGAAAGTAGTCTATGAGATTTGCCTATAACATCTCTTTGGAAGTATTATTTAAAGAATATGGCAGGGAGTTAACAGAGAAACAGCAGACAGGTAACCTATAATAAATATCTAAAAAGATTGTGAAGGTTTAGAACACAATTCAAAATACTATAGCTCATAACTGTGAGCCTCAAGGTAGCGAACAGTTTTGTACGTTTCTAGAGCTTTTATGTTTCATTTAACTTCATGTTTCAGTTATGCACACATGAAGTTCCGTTTCCCTCCGTTCCTGGGAGCTGAGAAAGATGATTTTATAAGCAAATGCATTATAAAGAAAATCAAATTTTATTTTCCATTGATTTTTAGGGAGAGGGGAAGAGGGCGGGAAAGACAGAGAGAAACACCGATGTGAGAGAAGCACATGCATTGGTTGTCTCCTGCTCAAACCCTGAGCAGGGCCCAGGCCAGGGAGGAACCTGCAACCAAGGTACTTGCCCTTGAACCCAAGATCTGTTGGTCCGCAGGCCGATGCTTTATCCACTGAGCCAAACCGGCCACGGCAAGGTTGTTTGCACTTGAAAGCAAATGCTTCTGTGTGCTCCAGTACTAATATAGATATAATCTGGCACATAATTTATCATTTCTCACATACTTATTTTCATACTTCTCAATTAACTTGTTCCAATATTTGTTATTCTCTGTATTACGTCTGTTTTTAACAAATAATTTAACAACGTGTACTTTTTATTAAGTTCTAATATATAATAAAGTTTTAGAGTAAAATATCAGAAAATTCATTATAGACAAGTGATTATGAATAATCTTAAAATAACTATTTAAATATATATATATATTATTGATTTTTTTTTTACAGAGAGGAAGGGAGAAGGATAGAGTTAGAAACATCAGTGAGAGAGAAGCATCAATCAGCTGCTTCCTGCACATCCCCTACTGGGA